GGGGGGGGGGAGGAGCATTGCTTGTTTCATGAAACTGCTGAAAACATGTTTTGGGTTGTTGTTTTTGTTATTGGTTTTTAAAGAAGTGTTAAATTTTTTTCTCCTACTGGCATGAAATATCAGAAACTGGCAGTCTCTTATAAGAGTGATTAATTCAGTAGAAAAAGGGCTAACTATTTTCTTAATTACTGAAGATGATTATGACCCAAATTGCATGTGGTATTGCAATTATTATGAACTTCTTTTTATGAAAATAATTTCAGAAACATGAAAAACTTGTATAACCTGAGTGTCGATTTTAGTTGGGGTGATGTGACTTACCATTTTTGCTTAAAGAGATACATTTCAAATTGCTCTTAAATAAAAATCTTCTTTTTTTGTTAGAACACATAAATAACATAAATTCCTGGCTATTTCCAGCAGAGTATTCACATACAGTTTTTCATATGCTCTTCTTTGTTTGGCCTATCAGCTATTTTCAACACCTTATCTAAAGATAATTCTGCTTGGTTACAATTCTCAAGTGCTTTTACATCAAATCTGCTTCTGTACAGTACTCAATGCAGTATTTGCTATTTTAGGTTGTGGTGCAGTTCCATCTAAAGTAGTTGGATCCCCACATTCATGAGCCAAATCAGAGTCCAGTATTTTTTTTTTTACTTTTGTTTTGCCTATCACTTACTCTAGAGACATGTACAATACATGTGGAACAATGTCTACTATCTAAAGTCCCTCTCATCCCACTCAAACAAGACTCAAGAAGACATGATGAGTTTTGGGGAAAATAGATTTTGAAGCATGCTAATCAACTAATTCGGGTTCTGTTAAACTGTGGAGGAGAGAATTCCTGATTTGAGGCCTCACTAAAAATATCGCGCTACCAGTCCCAACCTATTTAAATCCGGTGATTGTTTAGCTCATGTTACTGTGCATGAAGAGGGACTCTAAGGTCACCAGACACTTCAGAGTACATAGGCAACCATTCAAAGTAGCTTACAAGAAGAAATTGTGTGTGTGTTTAACTGTGATTGAGTTTAGTTTTAATTACTTTCATGGTTCTCCACCAAAACAATACCAGAAAAATCTGTTTTATGCTGCATATCTGATTTCTGAACTTTGAAGTGCTCTTCTGGCCTTTGTGTGTTGACAGTTTAGGCCCTTATCCTGGCAAGACAATGTACATGCTGAGCTTCACACACTGGGAAGTCCTATTGAAGTCTTTGCATAAGTCTTTGCAGAATCAGGGCCCTAAATTTCAAGCTCTTTGGAGCAGAGAACTTGTCTTCATACATGTATTTAAATCCTCATATACTCAATGGTACTATGAAACTAAAGATCACCTGGCTACAGGATTCTGGGTATTCATCAAGCTCCTAGACATTAGAATTCCTAAACTAAGAATTAGTAGACTAAATGATTGAGTAGTTGTCCAGGATGGCGACTTTTACTTAGACCGTGGAAGCTGGAACATTCATCTTGTTCCTACTCACGTGAAGGAGGTTGGGTGTGTGGAAGATGATGGGAGAATAGGGTAGTCTTTTTTTCTTCCCTGTAATCTTTTTCATGAAAATGTTAACTAATTTGCTATGCACACTTCAGTTCAGCTCATGATCTTCGCTGGATTCCATTGCATTAGTTTTCTTCCTATCGTATTCAATACACACATCTGCAAGAGACAGTCTATTACATGTATTTGTTTTAAGTCCAAGAAAAAGTCAAAAATTGACAGTGTTAACATTTTTTGTGAAAATGGCCATTTTTACATTGATTTTTTTGTTGTTAGTGTTAATTTTATCCATCCAGAGCTTGAGCTTGGCCACGTCTGCTTTCCCTGTGCAGGCTCTGTCTGGCAGGGCAAGTAGATGGGGCTGTGTGCCCTGGAGCTGCACTGAAGGGTCAGGGTCAGGAAGGGGCACTCTCTGGTGGGGGAGGGATGTCAGTATTCTTGGGGTATAGCTTTCTGTTCCTCGTTCCCAGAGTCTTTGCCAGCATCCCCATCAGAGGAACATAACTGCTGGCGATGGCAGCTGCAACAGTGGGGGAATGAGGCATGCAGGGAGCCTGATTCTGGCAGCTGAGACCACCTGCACAGAGCCCTGTCTGCTTCCCCTGATGGACAGAGCCCTCTCCTGACTCCAGCCTTTCAGCCTGACCCCATCAGGTCTTTGTGTCCCTGATAAACCTTATCATCTCTCGCACGGGGCTGCACCCCATAGTTTGGGAACCTCTGCCCTAAACGAACATCAATAAAAACCTTATAGTACCTCTGTGATGGGTTCGGTCTCAGAGACCCCCTTGGGACTGTCACCTGACATGCTGAGACTACCTCTGAGCCCATCTTCCCTGCCAGCTTGGGTCTTCAGAACCCTGCCTTGTTGAGCCAGATATGCTAATCTGCTGCAACATAGACCCAGGGATGGAACCACACCCCCAAAGCTGCAGACTTAACTGAAAACGGCTTAGCAAGTGTTCCTGTCACCAGCACCCAGACACCCAACTCCCAATGACATCCAAGCCCCAAATTAAATCCGTTTTACTCCGTATAAAGCTTATACTGGGTAAACTCATAAATTGTCCCCCCTCTATAACACTAATAGAGAGATATGTACAGCTGTTTGCTCCCCCAGGTATTAATTACATACTCTGGGTTAATTAATAAGTATAAAAAGTAGGATTTAAGTGGTTCCAAGTAATAACAGACAGAACAAAGTAACTTACCAAACAAAACAAACCACGCAAGTCTAAGCCTAATATGTTTAAGAAACTGAATATAGGTAAATCTCACCCTCAGAGATATTCCAATAAGCTTCTTTCACAGACTAGACTCCTTTCTAGTCTGGGGCCAATCCTTTCTCCTGGTACAGTCCTTGTTCCAGCTCAGATGGTAGGTAGGGGTTTTCTCATGACTGCAGCCCTCTTTGTTCTGTTCCACCCCCTTATATAGCTTTGGCAGAAGGCGGGAATCTTTTGTCTCTCTGGGTGCCCACCCCTCCTTCTAAACGGAAAAGCAGGTTTAAGGTGGATTCCAGTACCAGGTGACATGGTCACATGTCCTGTGAGACCCCAAGCCTTAATTCTTCCTGGCCTGACTCACAGGAAGGCTTGCAAATAAACAGAACCATTTACAACCAATTGTCCTACTTGATGGGAGCCATCAAGATTCCAGGTTTCAGAGTGGTAGCCGTGTTAGTCTGTATCAGCAAAAAGAACGAGGAGTACTTATGGCACCTTAGAGAATAACAAATTTATTTGGGCATAAGCTTTTGTGGGCTAAAACCCACTTCCTCAGCCCATGAAAGCTTATGCCCAAATAAATTTGTTGGTCTCGAAGGTGCCACATGTACTCCTCCTTCTTTTTATCAAGATCCCAAACCACCATTAATGGCCCACACTTTGCATAGTTACAATAGGATCTCAGAGTTGTATTTCATATTTCTAGTTTCAGATACAAGAATGATACATTTATACAAATAGGATGACCACACTCAGTAGATTATAAGCTTTGTAATGATATCTTACAAGAGACCTTTTGCATGAAGCATATTCCAGTTACATTATATTCTCACTTATTAGCATCTTTTCATAAAATCATGTGGAATGCAACGTCACAACCTCATTTATGCCATGCATTTTGTTTACTCTGGTTTCACCTTGCCCAGTCTTGAAGCACAGTATAATTATGGGAAGAAATAATAGAATTGTAATGGTTAAAAACATATTAATGTAGGGCTGACAACTTTTATACGAAATTTCAGTTCATTGTGGGAGTTAGTGTCTTGGATGTCTTCGATTTAAAATCAGAGTGTTTTTACTTATTGACTTTTTTGCACTATATTCTGGCCAAAGGTGGCCATTTTCCTCCAAGGAGTGGTTAATTCTACCAAAAGCAAGGCTTCTGATAGAATTTTTGATGTGCCCATAAGTATGTACAGCAGTGCTAGCAGGCATATCTATAGTTACTCTATTAAAACAGGCAACATCTATGTTATCTGTGCAAGTACAAAATAAAAAGAGAACATTGTGTGTTCTGTATTCCTGTCTGGGAACATTATAAAGTTAAAAGGATAATGCTTTATTAAATCTGTTTTTTTTAAATTAGAGGTTACACTTAATTTCCTTTTAGTATTTCTCCTTTTTACGTTCAAAAAATTGGATGTTGGCTAGGTTTTATTGAGTGTTATGCAAAAATGGAGCCACTACTTGATTTTTAGATAGTCATATACTAACTCTTTGCTGAAATTGCATATGCTGAAATTAGACCAGTGAGAGCATTTTAAAACACAAAAGGTGTAGTGTGACAGTTCAGAAATATATTTATATTCATAAGTGTGGCACAGAAATGTGCTAATTGAACTCTTACTCGCTATGAAATAACTTTGAAGCTATTCCTCTGAGACGCACGACACTGAGGCCACACAAAAACAATAAGAGATTCTTCCAATCCTCTGAATACTTGTAATGTAAGCCAGGAGAGCTTGCATTTGCTTAAATAATGCAGAACACTTTTTTCCTTTTTCCCTTGAGAGAATCTACTTTCCTGATTACCTATCTAGCCATATGCCCTATCTCTTGCCAGAAACGAATAGCACTGTCACTGCCAGCTAAAATTACTTCTTCTCTGAGAAAAGAATTATGGTAGGATTGTTTTAAATCCACTATATTGGCAAGATAAGATCTTCATTCACCCATTGCACTAAAATACCTTTACCTTGAAATTCAGATTGGAAACTTTTTAAAGAATTGAATTTGGTCCAAATTTTCAAAGGTGTTCTACGCTGGTTAACATGCATTTAATTTTTTAATACTTGTTCTCTTTCCAAATCTTTTCCCAGCTTGTTCCTGCTCTGATTCATATTGTAAAGTATAACAAATTAAAAATGTACAAAGAAAGCCTGTTTTCTACTCATATTTTGCAAAAGTTACAATACAAACAAAATACAGCTTGGAGATACTCTAGTACTTTATGGTGACCATGTGCCTTTTTTTCTTTGTTTTGGCAGCAGCAGGATGGAACTGAAAGGAGGAAATACACTGACTAATGCACCAGAGTGAGATTGATTCCTGCATTGTGTGATCTTTACATACCTGGACCATGCATTTGCTCCTTGGTTTCATGCTTTAAGAACCCGTGCGGTGATTGTGAAGCTGTTGGGAAGCCATGGCATTCTTTACTCCGTGGAAACTATCTTCTCAGAAACTTGGCTTCTTTCTGGTGACTTTTGGCTTTATTTGGGGAATGATGCTTCTGCATTTTACTATTCAACAGCGAACTCAACATGAAAGCAGTTCAGTGCTTCGTGAGCAAATATTGGATCTCAGCAAAAGATATATCAAAGCATTGGCAGAAGAAAATAGAAATGTGGTTGATGGGCCTTATGTTGGGACGATGACAGCATATGGTGAGTTCATATTCTAGAATACCTAGAAGCTTCCTAGAAAATGCTGGTTAATTAATTTGTTTTCTCAACATTATTTATGGCCCAAAAAAATTGACCTCATAATACAGCCCAATTGACCAAGTTGTATACTGGCAATCTCCCTATGGATAGTGGGAAGTAATCCTCTTTTCACAAGGTGTGGAGCAGCAGTGGAGCAATTCTGCTGTAGGTTGAAGTAGTGCCTTGTGGCTTCTTCAGTCCACTGGTCAGTCTCTTCCATAGTCTTAATTAACTGATCTACCAGTCCTGTCCCTTAAGCCTATAGGGCTCAAAGCCCCAGCAGAGTAGGGTTCTGTGGTGCTGAAACCATACTTAAAATCCCCCAAATCCAGCCTTTGTTTTTCTCAGTGGAACTGAATATTACTGTAAGAGTGGATGGTTGTGGGGGGAAATGCACCATTTAATTCTGTAACTGTAATATTAGTACTCAAGTTAAGCGGTAAACATTTGCCTTTATAATGGAAACTTCAGAACTATATTGATTCTATTTTAAAATAATTATCTGTACTAATTAAGGTTAATGGGTTTTCTGGCCACAATCTTTCCAGCAGACAGAATATAACCAGTCATCAATAGGAACAATCAAGTCACTCACAAATCCCCAACTACTTTATGATCTCTTAGTTTAGTCTGCACTTTCTAGATTCAGGGACAGCTCTGCCTCTGTGGTTTGAATGTGATGCTTCAGTTTTTTCTATTCTTACAGAAAAATTCCAAGCTAAGATTATTAATAGCTGGCAGTGACCAACGCGGTTCCCGCCTTTCCACTGGCTGAGAACCAAAGTTTGTTCTTCAGCCTTGCCAGAGAGATTCTTCTCAAAATGGTCTGGTTTCAGTTCACATTATTCTTTTTTGTTGAAAGATGAATTGGAGAATGTATAAAAGCTTGGAAAACTCAGAACTGAGAACCCACATGGAAAAGTCTGTGATACAAGGGGAAGGTGCTGGAGTTTGAAACATGCCTAAGAATTGCAAAGTGTTGTCTTGGAAACACCATAAAAAATGATCACCAGAATGTATCATACTCCTGTGATGATAAATATGAAGTTACAGCAGCTGGGTTTGTAGTGGGAAGGGTGCAAGCAGCACAGCTAGATCACATATATGTTGCCCCAACATTCAGCAATACTGGGCTGGAGAAAGTGTGTGAATGTGCCAATATCTGGTATGACCCCAGCACATAGACCCAGCTTAATTCAGGGAAGTCATTCTATTTATGGGACAAGCCCAAAGTGATATACCCTAGCAGTAAATTACTTATTTTGCTTCAGTGGAGAAAAGGAAAAGTTTTTATTGATATGGTGATGCTTCAGTGTCATATGGTACGCTCATCCAACAATGGTTCTGAAGCTTGCTTCCATGACATTGTATTGGGAAATGGAAGGGACCCAGTTGCATTTTTTGCGTCAGGTGGGGCTGTCCTTAGACTAGGGCTTCACCCATAGGGGCCGACTTCCCCTCTGCCCGGTGGGTGCTCCACCCCCCCCCCCGGCCCTGCCTCTTCCCGCCCCTGCACCACCCCGGCCCCGCCTCTTCCCGCCCCTGCACCACCCCCATTCCACCCTTTCCCCAACGTCCCTGTCCCACCCCGCCTTTTCCCACCCCAACCCCACCCCCATTCCACCCCTTCCCCAATGTCCCCGTCCCACCCCGCCTTTTCCCACCCCAGCCCCACCCCCATTCCACCCCTTCCCCAATGTCCCCACCCCTATTCCACCCCCTTTCCCTAAATCCCCGCCTCTGCCTTGCCTCTTCTCCGCCTCCTCTCCTGAGCGTGCCGCATCCCCACTCCTCCCCCTCCCTCTCGGAAAGTCCTAAGTGCCGCCAAACAGCTGTTAGGTGGCGGGGGGGTGGGAAGCGCTGAGAGGGAGGGGGAGAAGTGGGGACATGGTGCTCTGTGGGAGGGAGAAGGAGGTGGGGGGGGAGCTTGGCTGCCGGTGGGTGCAGAGCACCCACTAATTTTTCTCGTGGGTGCTCCAGCCCCAAAGCACCTATAAAAATAATCCCACCTATATGTACAAAGTGATGGGGTATAAATTATCTGTTACCACTCAAGAAAAAGATCTTGGAGTCATCCTGGATAGTTCTCTGAAAACATCTGCTCAATGTGCACTGGCAGTGAAAAAAAACTAACAATGTTAGGAACCATTAGGAAAGAGTTAATAAAACAGAAAATGTCATGATGACACTATTTAAGAACACAAGAACTACCATACTGGGTCACACCTGTGGTCCATCTATCTCCATATCCTGTCTCTAACAGTGGCTAGTACCCGATGCTTCAGAGGGAATGAACAAAACAGGGTAATTTCAAGTTATCCATCCCTTGTCATCCAGTCTCAGCTTCTTGTAGTTGGAGGTTTAGGGACACCCAGAACATGGAGTTCCACCCTGACCATCTTGGCTAATAGCTATTGATTATACTTATCCTCCATGAATTTATCTAATTATTTTTTTAATCCCGTTATACTTTTAGCCCCACAACATTCAATGGTTCCACAGGTTGTGTGAAGTAGTACTTCCTTTTGTTTGTTTCAAACTTACTGCCTGTTAATTTCATCAGGTGTTATGTGAAGGGGTAAATAACACTTATTCACTTTCTCCATGCCATTTGTGGTTTTATAGACCATCTCATCCTTCCTTAGTTGTCTCTCTTCTAAACTGAACAGTCCCAGTCTTTATAATCTCTCCTTCTATAGAAGCTGTTCCATACCCTGAATCATTTTTGTTGCCCTTCTCTGCCCCTTTTCCAGTTCTAATGTATCTTTTTTTTTAGATGAGGTGACCAGAACTGCACTCAGTACATTAGGTGTGGGTGTACCATGTATTTACATAGTGCAGTGGTTCTCAATCTTTCTGCTACTGTACTCCTTTCAGGAATCTGATTTGTCTTGAACACCCCAAGTTTCACCTCAGTTAACTCAGGCTTTGGCTTCAGCTCCGTGCGGTGGGGCTCAGGGTTTGGCCTTCTGCCCTGGACTCCAGTCAGTCTAATGCTGGCCCTGGTGGCCCCATTAAAACAAACTCGCTCACAGTTTGAGAACCGCTGATTATATATAGAACAGTATAAACAAGTCATTGTCTATAGCAAATATGGCAGGCGACCAGCTTGGCTTAACAGTGAAATCTTGGGTGAGCTTAAACACAGAAAGGAAGCTTACAAGAAGTGGAAACTTGGACGGATGACTAGGGAGGAGTATAAAAATATTGCTCAAGCATGCAGGGGTGTAATCAGGAAGGCCAAAACACAACTGGAGTTGCAGCTAGCAAGGGATGTGAAGGGTAACAAGAAGGGTTTCTACAGGTATGTTAACAACAAGAAAAAGTTCAGGGAAAGTGTGGAACCCTTAATGAACCGGGGCGGAGGGGGGCAAACTAGTGACAGATTATGTGGAAAAAGCGGAAGTACTCAATGGTTTTTTTGCCTCGGTCTTCACAGATAAAATCAACTCCAATACTGCTGTCCTGGGCAGCACAGCATGGGGAGGAGGTGAGCAGCCCTAAGAACAGGGGGCTACGAACTATTTAGAAAAGTTGGACATACATTAGATCTGGACCCATGGACTTGTGCGTCTGAGGGTGCTGAGGGAATTGGCTGATGTGATTGCAGAGCCATTGGCCATTATCTCTGAAAACTCGTGGCAATCAGGAGAGGACCCAGACGATTGGAAAAAGGCAAATATAGTGTCCATCTTTTAAAAAGGGAAGAAGTAGAACCTGGGGAACTACAGTCTGGTCAGCCTCACCTCAGTCCATGGAAAAATCATGGAGCAGGTACTCAAGGAAACCATTTTGAAGCACTTGGAGGATCAGGAACAGTCAACATGGATTCACCAAGGGCAAGTCATACCTGACCAACCTAATTGCCTTCTATGATGAGATAACTGGCTCTGTGGATATGGGGAAAGCAGTGGACATGATATATCTTGACTTGAGCAAAGCTTTTGATACGGTCTCCCACAGTATTCTTGCCAGCAAGTTAAAAAAGTATGGATTGGATGAATGGACTATAAGGTGGATAGAAAGCTGGCTAGATTGTCAGGCTCAACGGGTAGTGATCAACGGCTCGATGTCTAATTGGCAGCCAGTATCAAGTGGAGTGCCCCAGGAGTCAGTCCTGGGGCTGGTTTTGTTCAACATTTTTATTAATGATCTGGATGATGGGATGGATTGCACTGTCAGCAAGTTTGCAGATGACACAAAGCTGTGGGGAGAGAGATGCTGGAAGGTAGAGATAGGGTCCAGTGACACCTAGACAAATTGGAGGATTGGGCCAAAAGAAATCTGATGAGGTTCAGCAAGGACAAGTGCAGAGTCCTGCACTTAGGAAGGAAGAATCCCATGCACCGCTACAGGCTGGGAACCAACTGGCTAAGCAGCAGTTCTGCAGAAAAGGACCTGGGAATTACAGTGGATGAGAAGCTGGATATGAGTCAGCAGTGTGCGCTTGTTGCCAAGAAGGCTAACAGCATATTGGGCTGCAATTAGTAGGAGCATTGCCAGCAGATCGAGGGAAGTGATTATTCCCCTCTATTCAGCACTGATGAGGCCGCATCTGGAGTGTTGCGTCCAGTTTTGGACCCCCCACTACAAAAGGGATGTGGACAAATTGGAGAGTCCAGCGGAGGGCAATAAAAATGATCAGGGGGCTGGGGCACATGACTTATGAGGAGAGGCTGAGGGAACAAGGCTTGTTTAGTCTGCAGAAGAGATGAGTGAGGGGGAGGGGGGTTGATAGCAGCCTTCAACTACCTGAAGGGGGGTTCCAAAGAGGATGGAGCTCGACTGTTCTCAGTGATGGCAGATGACAGAACAAGAAGCAATGGCTTCAAGTTGCAGTGGGAGAGGTCTAGGTTGGATATTAGGAAAAACTATTTCACTAGGAGGATGGTGAAGCATTGGAATGGGTTACCTGGGGAGGTGGTGGAATCTCCATCCTTAGAGGTTTTTAAGGCCCAGCT